TGTGCAGAATGGAATCATTTGGATCAAAATTTGGAATTTTTCGGATCAAAAATCATACTGATTCACCTGTTTACAGCCTCCCAAGAGCTGGGATTACCGGCACGCACCACTATTCCCAGTCTCAGTTGCCTCCTCAGCACACCCTGAGGGCAGGGCCGGCACGGCAGGCCCAGGGATTGAACCCCCGGCCCCTAAGCCTGCTTACAGGCGCTTTAACCCACTGAGCTATTGGCTGGTCCAGTTATTTACACTTTCTCTTACTCTCATTTATGTCCCATCTGCAGCTGCTGTCTGCTACAGGATTGAGTATCGTGAGACTTTGGTCTGGGAAGTCAAAAATATTTATTTTCTGACCCTTTGCAGAAAGATTTTTCAACTCCTGCACAGAGTAAAGATGACATAAATATCTGGTGCATAAAGAAGTCATATTTCAATAAATTAATCTCAACCACAGAGCAACTTTTCCAGTGCAGATCCTTAAAGAAACATGTAGTATTTCATCTTATCCTGAGTAGATCCTAAGAGACAAAACTCTACTTCTCATCTAAAGAAACTGAGCCCCAGAAAGCTGATGTAAGTCTCTCCCGGCTAGCCCAAGGATAGGAGAAAACTATTCCCACAACAGATTCCCTATTTTTCTTTAATTAACAAGACACTCTGTGAAGTCAGTCCATTCCCAGAAGAACCAAGGATTTGAACACAGCATGCATAAAATAACAATGGCATTGTTTGGAACTTTCAACTCCAACTTACTCCATAAAGTTCTTTAATTGACACCAGCCTAGAAAATTTTCATACATTTTGATTAGGAAATTATGTGTGTGCACTAAAGAGCACAAACTTTGTTAATAGGTGGATACCTATCAGGCGTGGTGGCACATGCCCGTAATCCCAGCACTCGGGAGGTTGAGACAGGAGGATTGCTCGCCGCAAGCTCGAGACCAGCCTGAGGGTCCACAAAAGTGAGCAGAAGGCCAGCTGAACTGTATAGCGAGACCCTGTCTCAAAACACACTAAAAATAAAAATTGGGGGATACCCAAAGAACACTCCAGTGCACAATGAACGGGCACTCTATCCACCACACAGCTGTCTTGACAAAGTTTCTCTAACTCTAATTTTCCAAACAAGGTATACAGGTTTGAATTCTCAGGCATGCATCTCCTCACCAAAATCTCAAGAGAGAGAATACTTTAATTCTGCCAAGTCACACTAAAAATTAGACAAGGATCGCGCAGCACAGCTTGGTTTCTGTCTCTTACTGCTGTTGACTGAGAAAGAAATCCTGGGTGGTTTAGTATCTCCAATGCATCAAAACAATTATTCTGATACCATCATTTATTTATCCTTAAAAATGATTCATAATTCCATCCTTAGTAGAAAAGATCAGAGGTGAAAGTAAGTCAGGGAACAGATGTGCTTTAGGAATATACAGCTTGAAATTCACTTCTGAAGTTCATTTCACTCACTGAGTTTGTGCCAATGCATTCTGATGGAGGAAACTGAGAGCCTAGAGAAGGGCTCTAGGCCCCAGAAGAGGAGTCGTGCTTCACAAGGGAGAGAGACGAGGAGGCAGAAGTGCACCGTCAAGTGCAACCTGGGAGCCGTGAAGGTCAACCCAGGGTACAGGGAGGGTGTTGGAGAAACACCTGAGCCAGACTGTCAAAGCTAGAGTGACACGTGAAAAGAGGCAGGAAGGCTCTATGCACCTGTCATTTCATGTTCAAAGAGAAGAAAATGGAAGAGAACCAGATATGTTTTTAAGGGAGTGAACTGTTTGAAGTGTTCAGTAAGAGGTGAGTCTGAAACAGAAGGCTGGGGTCCTTAAGATCCTGCAGTGTTGGCCCTACAATGAGCATTTTCTTGTCCTGAGTGCTGGATTAGGCAGAAAGCAAGACCCTGTAAGCTATCACACTACCTTAGCATTAAATCTGTAGACAGGGACCTCAGTGGCCTTCTGGCTCTAATCAATACAGAAATCTGATCTGAGGACCTAAAGAAGAAAAACATCTGGTCTCATTTTGAACACTTTCAGTGACAAGAAACTCACTGTCTCACAAAGAAGCTGTTTAGAAAGTTCTTTGTATTGAATTGAAAACAGTGTCCCTGTAACTTCTTCCAGACTTCAGGAAAACATGGGCCAACAACTTTCCTCCAAAGAAAGGCTCAACTCACAGAAACTTGATGCCAAAGACCATGTTTAGAAAATCACGTGATCTAAACTGAATACACCATTGAATAGACCATAACTGCATTCCCAAGTGCAATTCACTTCAGTCTTCCCAAGAGACCTAGATAGACCCTGCCCCAAGCACAGGTCTTCTGAGTCAGAGCGCTCATCCTAGGGAGCCTGCGCATCTGAAGCTTCTGGACGCAACACACAAAGATCACAGATACTGAAGCAAGTAAGATAGAGAAGCCAAGCCACAGAACTCCACAATGGGCACCAAAGAAAAGTCTGGAAGACGCACAGTTATGGTGCAGTGGTTCAGCTTGATGCCTCATGTCCACAAGGCATCAGGACCCTTGTACAACATAACAGAGATGACCGGCCCAGGGAGACAGCTCAGTAGAATAAGCACTGGCCTGGCAAGCTCAAGGGCCTGAGTTCAATCCCTAGTTTTGCCAAAAAATAAATAAATAAATAAAGATGGAATACAATTTAGACATTTCTTCTGAAAAAAAAGAGAGAGAGAGAGAGGGGGGGGGGGACCATAAGGCATTTCAAGTTACAGATAAAATGAGAATAGTTCTAATCCCAGAGTTAGAAAATACAGCACCATCCCATGGTGGAGAGAAGGCAGAACGACTCAACTCCTAGTTTGCTTTTCTGTTTGACTCAGACAGAAATAATGCTGATTGTATGCAGTAGAACATGCACTGTCGTTAAAAACAATGATAAAGAATGGAAGCCAAAGTGGATGAGAAAACAGTGAGATCCTGTAGCTGCTGCTTTACGTTATTTCGAGGTCCTAACCCTGATTAACTGATTCCAAGAAACAGAAAGAGCTCACAGATGCTATTCGAGCCACAGTGCCGCAAGTCTCAGTGGTATGAAATCACAGACAGTGAACGCAGAACCAAAGACTACAGCGTGGCTAACACCAGCTCAGCCACCACACGGAGGAATAGCTGCATTCTGTGAAAATGCAAAGCACAGCCTAAGAGCCCACAGTGCAAATAAATAAGTGCAGGAGAATTAGAAGCTTATAGTAGAAGAGAAGAGGGTGGGGACACTGGACAAATAAGGCATTGATGAGAGTAACCTGTGCTCACCCTACCGGAGACTGGCCTAGCTTTTCATCCTCGGACTTATCCTAAGAAATAGATGCTATTATTTTCCCACTTTCCAGGCAAAACAACTGAGGCACAGACTTAGAGTCTTAAAATTATAAAGGACAGAGCCAGAGTGGGAACCACTATCTAGTGCAAAGGACTTCAGAGTAACCTTTGAGGGAGAAGCAGAAAATTTGGGCAAAATAAAACCTGGATAAAATATTTTGCTGAGTTTACACACCTATAATATTCAATAACGGAACTTAGAAAAAATGGGGTATACCAATGAATGTCCATTTTTTATCTGTGTATTCAAAGTAGTTAGGATAGATATATAGTTGCATTCTCTTAGTGAATAGAATGATTTGTTCTAATGGTGCTTGTAAATAGGATCACAAGTCTGCATCTTGTGCAGCAATTAACCACTAAGAAGAATATATGCAGTGTATTATTTGTTGAAATTGTACTTCCAATTTGATTTGAAACTGTCTCATCGCTATCTGTTTATCAATAAAACTTTGAAAAAAAAAACCTGGATAAGATTGAGGTAGGAAATGGTGAGACAGGTAGCAGCCATGAAGATAAAGCTCCACAACAGCCTTTTATGTGATTCTAAGAATGACACTATCTTATTATATTCAAAGATGAAAGCTTAAAATCATAGCTTTGGGACACTTTGATCCCATTTCAAACAGTATTTCTTTGGACTGTGACCTCCCTGTTGGGACAGTAGTCTGGGACCTGGGGTGCCACTTGGAATATGCAAAATAGTGGAATCCATCAGTTCCTTCTTTGCCTTCCCATATCATTCTGCGTATGCCTCCATTATAACACATGCTATATTACACTTAGGAAGTTAATTCCTATTCTACATCCCAACAAGACAGTGTACTCCTAGAAAACAGAGCCACATCTTATCTGAATTCTGAGCTCTGAGACCCACATTTGATAGGCAGTTGGGAAGTTAGCACTACACTAGGTAATCACTGTTCTACTAAGAACCGGTACTCTCAGCTCCAAATCCTAACACCATCAACAATCTCCTAAACCCAACAAACCTCCGAAAGCTCTGTACACATATATTTGATAGTGGTTGGGTGATATTTATTCAAAACGATCAATCATACCTGTTTTTAAAGCTGTAACTAAAGCTTTAGTCTCACCAGTGGGTAACTACTGTTACACCAGCCAACTGCCTGCCCAGCTGTGAAACATCCTGCCCAGCCTTGAAACTTAGGGTACATTTGTCTTGGGTGCTTAGTTTGTAAATGAGAGTAGCACTTGGTTTTTCTCATGACCCAGGATTCATCAGTACTATCTGCTTGCATGTCTGAAATTTTGTCCAGAACCATCTTGACTGTCTTCATCTGATTTTAGGCCCAAATAAATTTATATGGCCTTTCAGAGTAAACTGGATGTTGATTTCTCAGAAGAAAAGAAAGCCTTAGAGCAAAGGCATAAAAAGTAAATTCCAAAAACAAGATTCCCATTAAGCACAAAGTGTCAACACTGATAAGAATTTTTGTTTGGACTAAAACTTGGGTCTCCAGGTTCCCAGACCAGTTAAAGTGACCAACTGTCCATCACCTGAGTCCAGTGCACACCTCACTCATGAAGGGTCCTTTCTATCTGTTGATGAAATGTTACTGGTCCTGCCTCAAATATTTAAGCCCTGCAAGAGCCCAGTGATAAGAACTAGAGCTTGACAGTTGTTGTCCCCTCAAAAAGGGAAAAAATTCTATTCATTGATAGCACCTAGAAGGTCAAAACCAGAGCCTCAGGAATCACTATGAATTCTTTTAAAAACTTTTCAGGTCTTTCAATAATTAAATGTTTAAGAATCCAAAAGGAAAAAGAATATCATGGAAATGAGCAACACGCAGTCAGCCCTATTAAGTAATGAACTATTATTTTGTGTCCAAACTCATCAAGTTGTTGCTGCTAGGAAAATGAGGCCGCAGAAGGCTCACAGACTCGTGCTGATTAGTTATGCTGAGTGGATTCAGAATGCACCATTACTCAAGGGGGACTCCTCTGACTCTGTAATTAGCCTACAATTCCTATGATTCCAGGGAAGGCTTCAGAGTCTGTGCTTCAACTCATGCAGCATTTCCCACAAAAGGGATTTAGAATGATATTTCTAAGACTTTGACAAGATGTGGGATTCTGGCCGCATGCTATCTCCATCATAATGTTCCTTTGCTTCCCTCCAACTTCAATCAGCCACTTCACAAAACAAGGTTGCCAGAGATATTTAGTAAGAAAGTGTGGCTAGACTGGGCAAGTCTTTGATCCATAGAGTAATAGGTTAAGTAGCTCAAAGTTCCGCGGGGCACTGCAGAGGTGGAAATTCACATTCTCAACAAATAGCCATTCTTCAAAGCTCTTATGATCGCTGCAGGGTTGGAATGAAGAAGCTGAAACTCTGTGCATTCTCTGACTCCAAGACCACAGAACTACACTCAGCTAGACCAGGTAGGTCTGGGTCTCTCCAGTGCTTTTCCCTGAGTTGTTTCCCACCACATATACTCACCACCAGAACCACTGCTCAACTCCTGCAGTGCTTCATCAGTTGTGTTAACTTAAGAACTTAAAAACTTAACTAAATCAGTTCAGCAGTTCCACACCTGGGGGCATGAAGGTCCCACCCTAGAATGACTCATTACTTAAAGGATATAAAAAGGAATTGAGGAAGGATGGAGGGTCTTCACAGTCAGCTTGGATATCATCTCCTGGCTTCTAGCATAGACTCTTTCAGTGTAGACTCATCAGCCTTCTGTTGCAGACCCATCAGCCTTCTGATACAGCCTTCCATTAACACGGACTTGCACAGAATACTGCAGAGAGCTCCAGACCTTGGACCGAATCCTTCAGTCTCCAGTGTGCAGACGCCCTCTTCACACCTTCTCATCTGACTCTGTGGCTGACCATTGTAAGCCAATCTTGTAAGGAATCTTATAATTCCTTATACACTTGTACATCTTGTGTTATATCTGTTCCTCTAGTAAAACCCTGACGGATACAATGCCCATGCTCTGAGGAGGCTGGATTTTGCAGGATTACATGTCTTACTCTGTTCATAAATCAGACAAATCTTGTGGTCAAAGGCGACAAGTCCCATCAAAAACAAAGAAAAGTGTACCTTACAATTAAAAAGGGAAAGGGGTTAACACAGTCACTCAAGCTACACATATCAATTTAAGAAATAAATAAGAAGCACATTTTCTATTATAGCCACTGTTACCAGACTCTAAAACACAAGACTCTTAATTTGATGTGCAACATGAAAAACTCCTTAACAGCAGGAGCAAGCATCCCTAACCTAGTTCTTACAACCCAAAAGGACAAAAGACCAGCTGCTATAGCCCAGGGACAAAAATCCCTTACCCCACTGAAAGAAGTCCCCTGGATATTTATACTTTTTGGAGAAATATGAGAGAAAAGTTATAATGTACCAAATAACAAGAATGAAAACCTGGAATATATACATTCCTGAAAACAACTCCTGACCTTCAGCTTTCTTCCTTTTTCATTTGCTCCTTTAAAAACAAAGCTAATGAGAGGCTTACAGGTTAGCTCAGTTGTTTAAAACACCTGCTTGGGCAAACTCAGTCAGGTACAGGGGACTGAGGTTCAATCCCCAGCTCCACATTCCCCACTGGACCCACCCTGAAGGAAGCCTGAGCCACCAAAAAGAAAGAAAGAAAGAAAGAAAGAAAGAAAGAAAGAAAGAAAGAAAGAAAGAAAGAAAGAAAGAAAGAAAGAAAGAAAGAA